AAAAAAATGACAGAAAATTTAAGTTTTACAAAGAAAACAACTGGGATACATTAACTTGATTATGAGGCTCTTTGATCTCTGAGATTATAAGAAATTAAATGAAGCATTAAATAGAACATAAGAGAATTAGTTTCACCACAAATCATGTGGCTCATAGGACACTTGTAATCACAAACTTAGCACTAAAGACATAAATGCTCATATTATAAGAAAGGATAGGTACATGTCCTAAATCAAGTCACACCAATAAAGGCAGGGTTAACACTTCTTTTTTAAAAGTTGTTAAACTTTATAAGTAACATAAAATTCAAATAAAATCTGTAAGATTTGCAAAGTTTCAAAAAAGTTAACCAAAGCAGAACTTAAAATTCACTACAAAAGACAAAGTAGCTAATCTTCAGAATGTGTAGCACTATTAAGATCATAGACTATGTCGTATAGCAGAGCTTACTTTGAAAGAATTTAAAAAACCCCTTTAGTGGGCAGTGCCTGTGGCTCAGTGAGTAGGGCACTGGCCCCATGTACCGAGGGTGGCAGGTTTGAATCCTGCCCCAGCCAAACTGCAACAAAAAAAATAGCTGGGTGTTGTGGCGAGCACCTGTAGTCCTAGCTACTTGGGAGGCTGAGGTTAAGAGAATCACCTAAGCCTAAGAGCTGGAGATTGCTGTGAGCTGTGACACCACTGCACTTTACCGAGGGTGACAAAGTGCAACTCTGTCTCTAAAAAATAAATAAATAAATAAAACCCTTTAGGAAGTTAAATTTTTTGACCATACGTTTAATTTTCAACATCAGAGAACAAAAGTAAATCTTAAGTTTCTAGACTTAGGTAAGTTCCCGAAGTTATACTTTAGATTTGAGCTAAGCAAAAATTGTTCAACTCTTGTATTAGGCTCTATCATTCAATATTTACTGTTTACTTGCTATATGCTAGGCACTGAACACATTGGTGGGTAAATTAATCCTGCTGCTGTGAAGATTTTAACTGCTAGAGGAAGATAGCTCTTTGAATTCCCCCATTTTCTACAGATGTAAATTAATGTACTTGAATTCTCTCGAAGGCTGACTCCCCATTATTGTGTGACTCCCAATTTTTAATATCATTCAAGTCTCCCAGGAGTGGGGAACCTGTAGCCTTAAGGCCCCATGGGGTATTCTAGGTCCTTAAATGTGGCCTTTTGACTGAATCCAAATTTTACAGAACAAATCCTTTCTGTATTGCAGCAGCAGCAGCAGATTTTCTTTTCCTCTTTTGGTGCTTAAGAAATAACAATCTTGAAATCAAAGGACCACAGGTTCCCCACCCCAGTCAGACCTCTCTCCTTTCTTTATAAGTCCAAATCCAAAGTTCTTTTTAAAGAAAATTAGGGCTTAAAAAAATAGGGGAGCACCATCTCTACTTTCACACCTCTCACAGAAATGGATTTCCACATATTCAACAATTATCTCCTAGTTACGCAATTTAATGGACATTTCTAATTCTTACCTTACTGCCCCTTGCCTTGACTTCACATATGGTTGAACACTAACGTCTTAAAAATGCTTTGGGTTTTTGTGAAATGTTCTCCCATCTACCTCTCTGATTACTCCACTTTAGTCTTTTTTTTTTTTTTAAAGATAGAGTCTCACTTTATTGCCCTCGGTAGAGTGTCACGCCATCACAGCTCACAGCAACCTCCAACTCCTGGGTTTAGGCAATTCTTTTGCCTCAGCCTCCAGAGTAGCTGGGACTACAGGCGCCCACCACAACACCCGGCTATTTTTTTGTTGCAGTTTGGCTGGGGCCAGGTTTGAACCTGCCACTCTTGGTATATGGGGCCAGTGCCCTACTCACTGAGCCACAGGTGCCACCCCACTTTAGTCTTTTTAGTCTTTTGGAGCCAGAGTCTCAAGCCGTCACCCTGGGTAGAGTGCCGTGGCATCACAGCTCACAGCAAAGGAGATTTGTTCCCCCTTTGTTTCCCCTACAGTTGTTTCCCAAGGTTCCAATTCTCCCTTACTTTTCACACTAAGGATCTTTCAAAGAATATCTACTAATCCATGACTTTGCCAGCTACACATCAATATGTAGGTACACCTAGCCATGACCCTCTTGAACTCCATATCTAAATACACATTATTTCTACTGGTATATCCAGCAGGCTGCTCAAATTCAACATCCGATCAGAGATGAGACTGGCATTCTACGTATGAAAGCAACATGGGAAAAAATAAGAAATCTAAGGTCTGGTTGATTTGGTTGGCTACATGAAAAAAAAATATTTTTTCTCGAGACAGAGCCTCAAGCTATTGCTGTGGCATCACAGCTCACAGCAACCTCCAACTCCTGGGCTCAAGCGAGTCTCCTGCCTCAGCCTCCCAAGTAGCTAGGACCACAGGCACCCACCACAACACCTGGCCATTTTTCTGACTGCAGCCATCATTGTTGTTTTGGCGGGCCCAGGCTGGATTTGAACCTGCCACCTTAGGTGTATGTGGCTGGCGCCCTAGCCACTCGAGCCACAGGCACCGACCCGGCTACATGAAAATTTAAAACTTCAATATGTCAATAAAAGTAATGACAAAATTAAAAGGCAAATATATTTTGGAAAAAATGTTTGAATTATGACAAAATAAGATTTAATATTTTAGACCATAAAACATCATTCAGATAATTAAAAAAACTAAGATGCCAACAGAAATTCAATATACCATTCACAAAAAGTATATGCAAATAGGTAATAAATTTAAAATTACTAAACTTTACCAGAAATCAAATTTATATTACTTTTTTCCTATCATATCAGCAAAAAATATTTAAATGATGACACTTTTGGGGGAGGGTAAGAATTTTTTTCCTGATAATAATAAGAAAACAATCTGGCACTTGCTAAGTAAGATAAAAACAGCCATTCTAAAGACTCACAGAAATGGATCTTTCCTATAAATTTCCAAATTTATATGGAAAGGCAAAATGGTTGTCATATAATCAGAAAGAGTGAATGAAATTATGCACCTCTCTGTAGAAGAGAACCACAGATTTTGACTTCACAGATTAATACCATCATCATGATAACTATCTTTTAAAATGCTTAATATTTTAAAACACATAATTGTTCCTACTAAGATCAGGAACAAAGCAAAAGATGTCAATATTCCTAAGGAAATAAAAGGCATATTAATCAAGAGGGAAGAAAATAAACCTATCTTTGTTCATGGATTACATGATCATCTGTAAAATCCAAAAGAAATGACCAAAAAACACCTCCTAGAACTTGTAAGTGATTACAACAAGGTTGCAGGATACAAAGTTAATATATAAAAGACAATCACTTTCTTATATATTGGCAATGAACAAGCAGAATTAGAAAATAAACACACAAATACTATTTTAGTCAGCGCTCTGAAAATGAATTAGGTATAAATCTAGCAAAATATGTATAAGACCTATATGAGGAAAGGTACAAAGCTCTGATGAATGAAATCAAAGAACTAAATAAACGAAGAGACATTTCATGCTAATCAATAAAGAGATTCGATACTGTCAAGATGTCAGTTCTTCAAAATTTGATCTATAGATTCATGTAATCCCAATCAAAATCCCAGCAAGTTATTTTGTGGATACTGACAAACTGATTCTGAAATTTATATGAAGAGGCAAAATACTCAGAAAACCCATCACAATACTAAAGAACAAAATCGTAGGACTGGCACTATCTGACTTCAATACTTACTCTAAAGCTACAGTAATGATGAAACTATGGTACTGGCAAAAAAACCCAAATAGATCAATGGAACAGAACAGAAACCCCAGAAAGAGAACAACATAAATATAGTCAACTGACTCTAAAAAAGGAACAAAAGTGAAACAATGGAAAAAAGACAGTCTTTTTAAGAAATGGTTTTGAAACAATCAGAAATCCACATGCAAAACAATGAATCCATCTTACACCCTTCACAAAAATTAACTGGAAATAGAAGACCTAAATGTAAAATACAAAAGTTTTATTATGAAACTCCCAGAAGATAATATAAAAGAAAACGCAGATGAACTTGGGTATGGTGATGACTTTTTAGATGCAAATGCAAAGGAATGACCCATAAAAGGTACAGCTGTTAAGTTGAACATCATTAAAATTTATAACTTCTGCTCCGCAAAAGACAATGTTAAGATAATGAGAAGATCAGCCACAGAATGGGAGAAAATATTTGCAAAAGATATATCTGATCAAGGACTGTTATCCAAAATATACAAAGAACTCTTAAAACTCAACAATAGGAAAATAACTCATTAAAAAATGGTCCACAGCATTAACAGACACATCACAAAACAAGATATATAAATGCTTGGTCAGTATATAAAAAGATATTCCTTGCCATATGTTATCAGGGAAATGCAAATTAAAACAATGATATACTACCATATTCCTATCAGAATGGCCAAAATCTAGAACACTGGCAATACCAAATGTTGACAAAGACTTGGAACAGGAACTCTCATTCATTCCTGGTAGGAATGTAAAATGGTACAGCTACTTTGGAAGATAGTTTGGTTTCTTATAAAACTAAGCATACTTTTACTATATGATCCAGCAATCTTAGTATTTACCCCCAAACGTTGAAAAATTAGGTCCACAAAAAACCTGCCCATGGATATTTATAGAAGCTTTACTCATAACTGCCAAAACTTAGAAGCAACCCAAATGTCCTTCTACTGAAAGGGATAAATTGTGGTATATCCAAACAATGAACTATTCAGCACTAAAAAGAAATGAGCTATCAAGTCACAAAAAGACATAGAGGAACATTAAGTGCAAATTACTAAGTGAAAGAAGTCAATCTGAAAAGCCATATACTCTATAATTTTAAATATGTGACATTCTGGAACAGACAAAATTATGGAAAGAGTAAAAAGATCAGTGGTTCCTAGGGGTTGTGGAAGGGAACAAAGAATAGGCAGAACACAGAGGTTTTTCAGGGCAGTGAAAATACTCTGTATAATACTATAATGATGCACTATACCATTGTCCAAACCTACAGAATATTCAACACCAAGAGGGAGCCCTAACGTGAACTACAAACTTCAGATGATTTTGATGTGTTGAAGTAGGTTTCTCAGTTGTAACAAATGTCCCACTCTGGTGGTGGATGTTGGTAACATAGTAAGCTATGAAAAGTGTAAGAACAGGGGTATATGGGAAATCTCTGTACTTTCCTCTTATTTTGCTATAAACCTAAAAGTGTTCCAAAAAACCAAAGTCTTTAAAAGAATAATTGTTTCTATTTCTTAAAGTTTTTAAATAGTCTTTCAAATCCAGGTTATAAAAACTATATGCTACTATTAACTCTACAGATGATAAGAGGGTATGGGTAGAATAAATTTAATAGGAATAATTCTCTTATTTCTTAAAATCAAAGTGATTATCAATGAAACCAAATTAAGCATAAATAAAGGAAATAATTTTAATTTGACAAAAAATAAGTATGAATGAAAAACCTATCATTAGATGTAGGCATGCTTTATATTGGAAAACTGTTAAAGTAAGAAAACAGAAAAAGATATTTCAATTTAAAAGATCTAATATGTAAATAAGAAATATAGATGACATATTATAATCAACTCCAATACTATTATTTAATGAACTAATGTATAATAAAAATGAGCACAAATATGGGAAGGAAAATCAACCAGATTTTGTAGAAATTTTTCGGCTACCCTAGTCCTAGAAAAGGAAGCATACAGTAAGAATTAAAACGTAGATTCTTGGATTCAGATTCCAGCTCTACTCCTCAGCTGCTCTGTGCCACCTTAAAAACATGTTAATTAATTTTTCTAAGACTCAGAATCTTCAAATGTAAAAACAGGGATAACAAGAGAACATAGTATATACAGTTACTGTGATAATTAAATGAGATTGGATATGCAAAGCACAAAAATGCCTAGCATAAACTACTAGAAAAGTGTTCACAGCATTTACTACTATCCAAATGTGCTTTAAATCTTAGGGTGTGAAATGAACAAAATTTCAGTGATCAATATAATGGAAA